TCCAAGCTCCTTTAAATGGCAATCTAGGTCCTTCGTGGAGTGGTCCCTGCTCTCATTTCTCCTTATACCCCAGCCCTTCAGTGTGTGTATATGTATGAGCATATGTACATACATGTGCACGTGTACATGTGTGCACACACACACACAAACATGCACTCACACATACACAAAGGTTTTTTTAACCAGAATACCCACAGGTGATCTCTCAATGAACAACCCACTTCCATGGCTCTCTATGCTGCTATGTTCTTTGTACCATCTAAAAACCTCTTCATCTGGTTCCATAGTATTTGTCAAGATTTTACTCCAACGGAAAATGAAACTTGCCATGAATTACCTAGACTGGAAGACACGTTCTCTTCTCTTTTCCCATTGAATTTAGTGCATTTCTCTATAACTAAAGGACTTATCACATTGCTATAATTAATTTCTCCATTAAAGTCTCATTCTGTTTCTCCCCCACTAGTCTCTAGGTTCCTCAAAGCCATATGCTAAGTCCTCCTTATTTTTGTATCCTCAGTAATTGTGACTGATTCTAGTGCACAGTAATTGTTCAATAAACATTTGAAGAATGGACTAATGGAAAAATGGACAGATGAATGAATGAGATACACCTAATTACATAATTAGGTGTAATTTGGGGGCCAAGCAGACCTTGAATTTGGAAGCCAGCTCTTCCATATGACTTTGGATAAGTCACTTAACCCTTTTAAATCCTCTAATATATAAAATCTGTAAACTTGGGGAAATAGTACTACCTAACTCATAGGGAAATAACAAAGATTAAGTAATACATATAAAGCACATTAACACAATCATGGCAATGTAGAAAGTGTTAAGTGCTAAGTGTTTTTATTTTTTATTTTTTTTTTAAGATTTTATTTATTTATTTTACTTGAGAGAGAGAGAGAGAAACAGCATGAGAGCGGAGAGGGTCAGAGGGAGAAGCAGGCTCCCTGCCGAGCCGGGAGCCCGATGTGGGACTCGATCCCAGGACTCCGGGATCATGACCTGAGCTGAAGGCAGTTGCTTAACCAATTGAGCCACCCAGGCGCCCCGCTAAGTGTTTTTATTAATAGGAATAACTTAGCTCCAGTGACAAATACATTACACACATACAGACTGAACAAAAATTACTAAAGAGAGAGAAGAGGCCTCTGGAAGAAGAGGAACCCAAAATTTTCTTTGGAAAGAGAAAGGAAGACAAGTTGGAGAATAGATGAAATCTAGAAAAGTCTTCTGAGGCTTTGCAGTTAATCACCTGATATCACCACTTGAAGTCATTTTTAAGCAGTCCATTGGAAATGAGAATGGGTTGAAGCATTGCTTTTATTGTCTAAATAGTCAAGGTTATCCTTTGGTGGCAAACCGAGTCAAAAGGAATATTCTGAATTTTATCAAAAATAATACTTCTTTCTCTAAAGAGTACTGGGATTAAGCATTCCAGAGTACTTGATCTTGACCAAATAAAGATATGCCACATTTTATTCCTACATTTTCACAATATTTTTATACATATTATGGTGAAATTTCCAGAGCCATTGGATCATGTTTTGCTGGCATAATTGCTAAAATGGTTACAAGTCATTTGTGAGTAAAATTATGCCAAATGTCTTAACTATTTTATGTCTCCAAGCTGCAAGGATAAGAATATTTATAGTTACTTTCTAGTTTAGATACATTATAAACCTAAATGCTTCAAAGTTAGTAACAGTGACACCAGCTAAGACATGAGCAACAAAACAAGTTTCATTATCTCCATCTCTTTCCTCTAACCTATGAATCAACAACATTATTTTGTATTAAGTATACATTCATTTTCTTCTTTTCATTCACCTGTCTGTTTTTGACAATGGTCACACCTATTCATGCTCCAAGAATTTTCATGAGGCAACGTCTTCACATACATACTGAGAATGGATGTGCCTAGCTTTGGCAGTGGATCAAATGCAAGATCACAAATGCAAGAATGTGATGAATGAACATTACTATATTTTAGAACAATGTTTCCCAGCAGGGAACATTTTTAAAAAAATGGCTTTCCATTAAAACACACACATGCACACACACACACACATTTCAAGAACTGGTCAGTTTTCTTCTTCATGAATATTTTTCCCCTAAATAAAATATACCCTTTATCCTGTTTCATTATCTGTTAGATGTCTTTTGATAACCAGATGCTTAAGATTATAGGGACAATATGCTGACTAGAGATCCTACCCCCAATCCAATAACCACTGTCCACTCTCCAGCTTATATTAACCAGGGTAGAGTGAGTCTGACTTAAAGAAGGTCAACTATACTATGCTCTGTAAACATCACCCTGTGACACTATATAATATAGGGCAAACAAGTTGTTTCCTAAACCATATTTTAACTCTTAAAACATCTCTCACTAACAGAGTCTATATTCATGAGTCAGTAAAACAAGCAGAAAAGTGAGGGAGAATAATCTCCATACAATAGGTTTATTACATTGTGACTGAGAGCAACAAATACTAAAGGTCTGATGAAATTTTCAGCTTTCCAGAAATTTTGCATGTCATGAAATGACAAATTCTTTGACTTATAGTTATCCTCAGTAATGAATAAATGATAGTATATTTGAGAGTGAATACAAATGAGAGACTAAATGAGAATACTGAAAACCATGAGTAATTCCAAAATAGTTTAAAATAGGTCTAGACATACACAAATCCCTGCCCCCTTATATTTATTGACTGGCTCTTACTACAACTGTCTCTTCGTATACCCCAGGATCCTTTACATGGGCATTATTTACATGCCCAGAGTTTTTGCTCCTATGCTCTTCCCTGGACCAATTTAACACTCCTTAGGCACACCGTAAAAGGAATTCTATTACCCTTTCTCTGTTCTATCAGCACCTCCTAAAATTCTACTCCCAAACTAGACATTACATGGGCAATGGGAGGATGCAAATGCTTAATATTCTATAACTTAAATAAGCCAATTGTATTTAATCCAGAATTTTTATATAAATATTATTCAGACCCAGAAGCCTTTAATTAGCATGATTTCATTGGATGGTTCGGAAAACTGAACTCATAATGATACTAAGTGATCACCAAAGCAGTGACTCACATCAGCGTCCAGCAATAATCTAGAAATATTAAATAAATAGTTCTTCCCCAAATATTATTAAGGGCAGAGTGATAAACGTATCCTGATATAAGAATTATCCTCCTCCAAGATCAATGAACAATCTATTTCCCTAACGGGTTTGGAAACATGCAAATCTAGTTAAAGCTATATGCAATTTTAAATGAATAATAACACTTGCAGCTAGATATGAAGTATTGCTATGTGTCAAGCTCAGTTCTAAATAGTTTTTTGTTTATTAATTTATTTAATCTTCATAACACCACTGAGTGGTAGGTCTTATTATCATTCCCCTTTTATAGAGGTGGAAACTGAGGCACAGAGGGTTAGGTAACCTAAGTCACAAAGCACAGCTGGTGAGGCAGTCTGCACTCTTACTCACCCCAACACAGTGTATGTGGCATCAATGGATGACTTTTATTCTTTTAGTCCACAGATGTCCCCCAAAAAACAAAACAAACAAACAAACTACCCTAAGGATTAGACACTGACAAAGGATTGTCACATGGTATCTCTGTTAAATATCAGAATGATATCATAACATCACTATGGGAAAAGTAACCTAAGAGCAAGAAGGATATGTGTAAGAACATACAGCTGAGGAAACCTAGGGAAATAGCAGGAAACAGATTACCAATAGGTAATCTGAGAAGCAACTGTGATTCCCCTCTTCAAGCAAAGGTATCAGGTGGATAAAAAGCCTAAGAGGCAGAAGAGCAGGCATCACTGGCCTCTGCAAACAGCAGCTGGGGGCAAAAGTACTGACAGACATGTGTCAATCCCTTCAGGCTCCTCCCTGCTCCCAGTCATGAAAAGTAATGTATGCATGGAATGATGTCCAGGCCTTGTATGTCCCTCAGGAGGGTCCCCATTAGTGGACTAGAAGATTATTGCTAGAGATTAAATCTGGATTAATATCAAAGACAATAAGCAGATAATTCAGATTCTGTATTATTGTTATCAGAGGTAAGTCAATATTATCAAAGCTAAGTATTAGGGAAAAATTATTCTAGAAAGTGAAGTTCAGTGGATACTTGAATAAATTGCCAAGTCAATCAAAGAATGAGTCAATTAGCATAGTGATTGGTTTTGATGAAATGTGTATAAACCAAGCTCTAATTCTTAAGTTGGTGATCTTCCTTTTCTCTATCAGATACCAGTTCGTTCCTTCTTCAGCTTGTTGTAGACTTAGAGTAAGACATTCATGAAGTAGAGGGTACTCCAAGCTTCTACAGGAGGGATTGAGATACAGGCATCCATCAGCTTTTTGGGAAAAGGATGCCTAATAAAAAACATGCTACTTCCTTATTCTCTGGGAAGATGAAGGCATATTCCTTCAACCAATAAGTACACTTGTGGCCTCTAAAAGAAGAGAAGGTCTGCCCTGTATAAGAATGGGTCAGGAGATTTCACTTCCCATAATTATCAAGACAGTAAAGAAGAATATACAGAAATTACTAAAATCATATCTAACAGGTGGTTATCTGAAAACCACTTATTACAATATGAATGAATCCTTGCATTCAAAGGATAGAAACCAGGAAACCAGATGAGGGATCACCCACATCAACATTCTGTTGATACAGAATCAAGCAAAAAGAGGCACGACCAGACACCGATGCAGGTAATTTACCGTTTGCACTCTACAAATATTCCTACTCAGAGCTGGGCTGTACTGCAGGCAAGCCTTTTTTCTCTGACCCAGCTGTGAGGAGCCTGAGACATTATAGTGCAGGAGATGCCCTCATTAAGTAGGTTAGGGTATTCTAGCTTTTTCAGAAATCCTTAGAAAGAAAATATTTTGTTTTTGTCCCCGCAAACCTCCCCCATCACTACACCGTCCCCTTCCCAATATCCAGTGAACTCCTAGTGCTTACTTGGGATACTTTCTAGATTGAATGAAGGGCAGAATCTCGGAGTCTTGATTAGATGACGGAAGTAGTAAATCTCGAAACCGTTCTGTCAAAAGAAAAACATCAAGTTGTGAAAAAATAAAAGTCATGAAAATAATTTCAAAATGCAATTATTACCTATTGTTTTAATTTGTCCATTAGTTTGGCTGCACATCCTTTATTAGAAATGTGCCCACCATTTTGTATAGTACTGACATATGTCAATTTCACTTTAATGACTATATCTTTTTATGATTAAGATATTCCAACAACTGCCAGTAGAAAAATAGAAAGTATTCATTAATATAGACTAGTAAAATCTTATAATTGAAAGATTAGAGGAAACACTCATGACCAATAAATATACCTAAGAGATATGCAATCTCATTAGTAACCTGGAAAGTGCTAATCAAAGCCACATCCCATTAGATAGCATTCATATATTATGTGGCATTTGATTGACAAATGAATCTCACAAGACCAAGTGTTAGAGAAGATGTGGATCAACATAAGCTCTCATATAGTTCTGGTGAGAATGCAAGTTGGTACAATAGCTTTGGAAAACAATGTGCGATTATCTTCTAAGTTTCACCTCTGTGTACCCTATGAGCCAATATTTCCATTCCCAGGTATATACTCCGTAGAAACTTTCACATAATGTCTTAGGCAGCAAGTAAAAGAATATTCATAGCAGCACTGTTCATTACAACATAAAGAGAAACCACTCAATTGCCCATCAACAGGAGAATGGACAATTTGCAGCACATATATACAATGGAATATTAATTGAAGTGAAACTGAATGAAATCAGTTACAAATAAAAACATAGTAAAATGGTGAGTGGAAAAAATACTAGTAGATTACATACAGAAAAGTATCATTTGTTGAGTTAAAAAACAACTAAGCAGTGTATTGTTTAGAAATGTTATGTATAAAACAAAGCAATCCAATAAAAAAAAGAATAATATACATAATCCAGGATAATGGTTATCTTTTAGAAGGGGTAAGAAGATGAAATAGGAGAAAAGCAAAAGGTAGGTCATCATTGTTAATACTTTACATCTATATGAAATATATGAAATTTAGATGTGTATATAAATATACTTATAGCATCGTAAAGGAATGAATGTGGGTCAGGGATTGTCCAATGATGACATTAGCCCATGAACCAAAACTTTGACTAATAAAATTCTGTGCTTATTAAGCTCATAATGAAGGAAGGAGGGAGGGGAAGAGAAAGAGAAGGATGAGAAAAGAAGGTAGGGAAGGAGAGAGGGGTGAGGGAAAGGAAAATGGGGGGGAAGGAAAAAGAGGAATGTGGAGGAAGGAAGAATCCTCAGTTCTACTTTAGAAATAGTTGTACTGCATAATTATCTGCATTGCATAGAGTAATCTATCACTCTGAGGCTGATCCCATGTTTCCAATTTTAGTATATGTACTGCCGAAGCGAGCACTGATCCCATGTTTCCAGAACTAGGTACTCATTACCTCTAGTCATCCCTATTGGGAAGGTTTCTTTGATCCCTCCTCTTTCTTTTATTCTTCCTCCAAAATCTGGAATAGATGGCCCTACTGTTTGTACTCCTAGTAGACTCCATGCTTACACTCGCACAGAATGTTTCAGACTACATTTTTATTGTTAGATACAATTGTCTATCCACCCCTCCTTCTCCTTCTAGTAGATGGGTATTGCATCACCTGGATATGGAACATTATCTGATACCTATTAAGATGCTAGATAAATATTAGTTGAAACAATATATCCATTTTTTCTGCATAAAGAAAGTTGCCAAGGTTAATCATAATGCCTTTCAGAAAAGCCCAACTGGTCATCTATCAACCATGAAAAGCAAGGGTACCGGAGCTCCAGCCTTGACAGGGTCACAGGGTCAGGCTGAGAGAGAGTGCAAAGCTGAAGCTCCAAGCTGCTATAAATCCATCACTAACCGAAGGTGCCCAATTTCCACAAAATACTGAAAATTTGCAGTTGATGACAATCACCACTTCCCAGTTACTGAATAGCCAGATGTTAAACACTGGTGAACACAGTGGTTACAAAGTATGCTGAGAAGCAGGATGGGGATTTATCTCCATATTTATTACAACACATTGAATCGGATGTTTAACTGACCTCTACTCTGTTGCTTCTCATCAGCACTCTGACGTTCTTACCGTACACTTGGGGAGGAACTGAGAAGATCCTAAGAGAGGTGGTTGTACTGTAGAATCCACAGATCTAAGAAAGCACAATTTCTTTTTCTCCTTCAAGCACACTTTTTTTAGTTCATATTTTAAAAATTAAATTATATCGACTGATAATACTGCTACTTTTAATGAGCAGAGTTAATATTTCAGTGAAATGACTAGTAAATTCTTGCGATGGGACCCTTGTCTTTCAGTACACGTCCCAATTTATGTAGCATTTCATTAAATGAGTGATTTGCAGTGTTTCTCCTTTTCCCCTTTTCCATTCCATTTATCCCTTTCCTAAACAAATCTTGAAAAACAGAGCCAAAACCCAACCACAAACATAAACTTCACATCAAGTAAAGAAAGAACTGTTCCAACAGCTACATTGAATATGATATATCCTTGGGTGCTAACAATATAAAGTTTTACTGAATGATTCTCAAACTGATTGCAAGGAAAAGAAAAATCAGAATTCTTAATGCAAACAACCATAACATAATACAGCTGGAGGCTTTTCCGTGTTTCTATAATCACAAAAAACATTTGACTGTAAATTTGGAAGACAATCTCTGGAGATAACATTATATTGATAGGATTTAAAACACATACACACCCACACACACAGAGCAAAAGTAGCATATAAGAAATTACTTGCAAATCCACCCAAACTATAAAATCTATAATGAATATTCTTACATTTGAAGCATCCTTTAATCTGATATTATAAATGCAAGCAACACCAAGCAAACATGAAATTCCTTCAGTAGCTACCATGAATGTAAAAAAAAAGTTCATACATAGACAAAGAAAATAGCTGCTTAAAATTATATCCTTTTAAAATGTTTATTTTATTATATTCATAAATTCCTAAATATGAACAATTAACTTTATCCCATACAGGTATAATGATTGCTTACTTTTTATGAGAATAAAAATAAATGATAAGAAGTATCCTTAGGGAAAAAAAAAAGAAAAATACAAGTAAATGAAAAATTGTTTAGTCTCCCAGATTTCTGCCTATCAAATAATTAATTAGCATCCCACTGTTTATCTGATGCTGGGAAAAAAGACCAAAATAAACTGGTGTTTTCTCTGTTCAATAGCAGAATTTTTAAAATAATACTTCTCTTGCTGCAAATGTCACACCAGATGATCTGCTTTCTCAGGAGGCCCAAAGTCTATTTCTTAGGAAAATGGCAGTTATCCAAACACTAGATCTCAATCCTTTCACTGGGCTCTTAGAATAATTTCATTAAAGCCACTGAAAAGAACCAGAGGATTTTTGAAAGGTTATATTTTGATGAGTTGACTAATGATGAGATAATGTCTGAACATGATTGTCTACCAGTCGGGGATATATCTTAATTAAAATAAGCTTTTGTAGACTTTCACCTACTCTTCCGTTCTCCCATTCAATCAATGAAAAGATTGTGAGGCTATCAGACCTGGACGGCATACTACACATGATTACACTATTTTGGGCTCTCTGGACAATCAATTGTGAGACAATACACTTAATTATTCAAAATCAAAGATGAGAAAAATAAAATAATCTTTCCAATTCGAATTCAAACTTTTTTGTTTATTTATTGTGACTCAATTCTTTATCTTCCCCTTTGTGAAAAGTGGCCACGTTGTAATCCTCCTCCAAATGCAGAATGTGACAAATGCAATACAAATTTGCCTAGCAACGAAAGACCAGTACGCAAATATGTTTCTGAGATGAGAAGACAATAAAATCTTCCTACCACTATAAAAAAAAAGAAAGAAGTTAAATAAGGGCAGAAAAGAAAATAAAAAGATGACGCCCTCCTTCTGTAGTCCAAAAGTCCTTTGCATCTGAAGATGTGATCATAGCCACTTAATGTGTGTCTTAAGTAAGAACCTGAGAAACAGCTGTTGTTTGCTGGAGGAACTCTGTGGAGATTTTACCAATTGTAAATCACTGTTTCTTTCCAAGTAATCCCCTTTCCTTACCTTTGCTTCTCCATAGTCTCCACTATGGAAATGAATGTTTTAACTACTTTAAGTATTACATTATCATGGGCAAGGAAAGAAAACCAAATAAAACATCTCTAAAGAGTGATAATGTTGCTCTAAAAAATCTGGTAAGAAGTTATTGGGATTTTTATTATTAGATACAAATTTTCTGCTCTTTTTTTAATGCTCATATTACGCTTGATTTGCCAGTTTTAATTTCTTTCTTCAGAAAGCATTAAGACAAAATCCTTAAGGGGTATTAAACAGACTCATTAGAGACTTAAACTTAGTTTTAAAAATAACTAACATCGGGCGCCTGGGTGGCTCAGTTGGTTAAGCGACTGCCTTCGGCTCAGGTCATGATCCTGGAGTCCCGGGATCGAGTCCCGCATCGGGCTCCCTGCTCGGCGGGGAGTCTACTTCTCCCTCTGACCCTCCTCCCTCTCATGCTCTCTGTCTCTCATTCTCTCTCTCTCAAATAAATAAATAAAATCTTAAAAAAAAAAAAAAACTAACATCATGTAACAAAGTATTGGAAGTTATAAGATAAATGTTGTAAGGAAATAGACATCATCCCCATGCTCTTAGTCTTTAAGCAAAATCTATAAATGATTACACTATAATATTTCTATTATTTTGCAAGAAAAACTGAAGATTATCTCATAATACAGGCAGGGTTATAAGTGAGTATGCATGATACAGGGCATACCAAAGAATGAATCTCTCTTTACTATATAGTTTGCAGTACTTAGAGCAACAGGGTATAATAGAAAAGATACCAAATTGGTTGTCAGAAAGTCTGAGGTTCTCCACCTACTTCTTCCTCTGTTCTTAATTCCTTTGCTCAATTGACAAATGAGTTCAGTGATCTTTAAGCTACCTTTCAACTTTGAAAC